TATAAATCCAGATTAAGGAAGGTTTGTTTATATAAAGTTTGTTGTCGCTGACTGACGTGAACGACCTGCTGGATGTTCTTGTGTGTTTGCAGACGGCCTGGTGGTTTGCCACCTACCATTTGGACCCACAGCCTATTTCACGCTCTACAACGTGGTGATGAGGCACGATGTTCCAAACATCGGCACCATGTCGGAGGCCTACCCCCACCTCATCTTTCACAACTTCTCCTCACGCCTGGGCAAACGGGTGAGAGCTGAGCGTTCTGCAGCTTCTGGGGATATTGCTTTACATCCATTGTGCTGAAAACGATTCATTGTGGTGGTTCAGGTGTCGAATATCCTGAAGTATCTGTTCCCGGTCCCCAAGGACGACAGCAGGCGGGTCATCACCTTCGCCAACCAGGAGGACTTCATCTCCTTCAGGTTGTTGTGAGGAAAACAAAGTAACTGAATGATTGAACTGTTGATTGATCTGTTTTTTTTTTCTAGGCATCACACCTATAAGAAAACTGACCACAGGAACATAGAGCTGACAGAAGTGGGACCTAGATTTGAGATGAAGTGTAAGTAGATCTACAGCTAGATCTGCTCTCACACAGAGATATTCATTTTAATTGAATGTGGCAGACCAGCACTTCTATTCACTTTAGCTCTGAGTCCAAACCTCATGAGGAGAGGTTTGGACCCATCCAGAATGGCCTAGTCCAAACACAGACCTCGTTCCACTGACAAATCTGTGGAAAGATTTCAAAACTAAAGTTTGGAAACATTGTTTACAGGTTAAAGCTCCCGAAAGTCTGGTTTAAACTACTGAGGTTGTTGGTTGAATAACAGAAAAGGTTTGATCCAGTGAGCAACAAGATTTATTATGAACCAACAGCTTAGAGGAACTCGGCATCAGAGGATCTGATATATAATCTGATATTATAATCTGATCCTAATCAGGATTAAAGTGGTAGGGGAGCTAATGGACCACGACCTCTGACCTCTTTATCAGGGTTGTTTTCAGAATCTGGTTTGGATTAGCTTTTATTATTCACATTTATTCCATTTTTTATCTCCTTGTTAATGAAGAATCTCAAACTTCAGGTATGACTAATAAAATCTTTTAATATGTAGATATTAAATACTATTATAAGGTAAACAAACTGAAGTCTGCTTAAACTTTACTTCCAACCTGCCATGGACTTCAAGGCATCGTGTGGAAAAATGTTCAAACTATTATTTTTCTCCAACTAGGACAGTTTGAAGTTTAAAAGTTTTTGATCTTATCTCCTCTTTAGTGTACATGATCAAGCTGGGTACCCTGGAGAACGAGAGCACAGCGGATGTGGAGTGGCGTCATCACCCGTACACGCACACGGCCAAAAAAAGGAAGTTCCTCAGCGTGGAATAAGAAGGAGTCCATCAACCAGCTGTGGAGTTAATTAATGCTTCAGGCCTCGTTAGGGAACAGATGCTTCAGGCCTCGTTAGGGAACAGATGCTTCAGGCCTCGTTAGGGAACAGATGCTTCAGGCCTCGTTAGGAAACAGATGCTTCAGGCCTCGTTAGAGCAGCCTAGCAGAAACTAAAGGCCATCAGTTATATTAACCTTTCTCACATCTGTATATATATCTATATATATATCTATATATATATAGATATATATATA